TGTTTATTATAAAAATGTTCTGCGTGTCAAAATGAAAGACAACCCACACACCTCTCAATCATCAAACCGTGGGGTCTTAATTCATTACGTGTTGATTTCTATCAACGGGGGAGTACTTCAGGAAAGTCGACAGAGGGGGGGGGGGGGGGGGGGCGGGCGGCTAGTGGAGTACTTCGTGACCACAGAGTGTGAACGTTGTGATCAGCTGTTTTAGCGCAGTTCTCCAGTGAAGGGGGGGAGTCTCTCTCCGCCGCCGGTTGGCGTAGTTTTGGCACAATTCCGTTGTACAGACCGACGTTAACAGCAGCCCTGTCTGTGCACACGGAGACCGACTCTGTCGTCCGGTGATCTAACCGCCTTCTGGAAAAGCTTCACAAGTACGTCGGTACGCAAATGCGCTTTGTGACACAAGTGACGGTACGCATTTCAGATTACGCACATAACCTGCGTACCAGTTATGTGCACCCCTGTACTACAGCAAAAGTATTCTCCGTCGGGACTTCCTGCAAAAACACCACGCCGTTATCAAAGATGTTCTATTGAGAAGACGATCACTACGTGACAAAAGTTTTCAAAACCGTGGCTACTGAAATCAATCTTACTAACTGCTGTCTGTACAATTTACTCCGGGCGAGTTGCAGGGGCGGATCTAGACAAATATTCATGGGGTGGCAAGAGGGTGGCAGGAGATTTTAAGGGGTGGCATCCCCTGGCAGAAGTATATGCTGATTTAAATCGCAGTGTAACGGTACACGTACTGAAATTATTCGGTACGGGCCCTTCGGTTCGGTACACGTGTGAACCGAAGGGTACCGAACAAATATAACGTTAAATGTAAAAAATTGAGAACATGAACAACTTTCTGGAAGTAATCTGAGGTATATATCATAGAGCGACCAAGTCATTTCATTGGACGAGAGGTATACTATGAGAGCTGGTCACAGGGATGCGTTCAAATGTAGTCAGTAATTTGAGGAACTATCGAAATGGTGAACGCAGATAAAGTTGAGCTCCAAAATCCTCCAGCATCATTGAAGTCTCCGGTTTGGGAACATTTTGGTTTCGCAGTTACGAACAAGGATGACGGACAAAGACAGGTGGACTGAACCAAAGCTGTTTGTCGGCATTGTTCAACTAACATTGGTTACGCGGCTGGCAATACATCAAACTTGCACACTCATTTGAAAAGGCATCACCCGAACGTGAATATCACCGCTACCAAAAGAAAAAAGACTGAAGTGCAAACCCAACTCCCGCTAGCATGTAAGCCTCCACCACTCGCAGAGAGTTCAGACCGAGCCAAAGCTATTACAAACGCCAAGTATCCTTATGTTGCCATGTTAGCAAAGCGCTACCTGGCTGTATCTGCTACCTCTGTCCCTAGAGAGGATGTTCTCCACATCAGGAGACATTGTTAGTGCCAGCAGATCTGCCCTTTCGGCAAGCAATGTGGACAAGTTCATCTTTCTTTAAACAACATGAAAATACAATGAAAAGCAAGTCCTAATGTCAACCTGGCTGCTTAGGTACAGTACAGTTCAAATACAGATCATTTCAGTTCATTGACATGCTGCACCTTAATGTTTATTTTATTATATTTTGTATTTATTTGAGTGAATATTCACAGTTTAATAATAATTAAAAAAATTAAAAAATGTTTTAATGTTGTGATAATTTTTTCTGCTGAACCGAAAACGTACCTAACCGTGACCTAAAAACCGAGGTACGAACCGAACCGAAATGTTTGTGAACCGTTACACCCCTACAATCAATGTTAACTTGGAAAGCCACAATATTAATATTTTAACTCAATCACAAAGGTGATATTATTGTGGCACATCAGTAAAGCCTTACATATAAATATGTAAGGTGGCAGACGTAATTTAATGAATTTTAACTGAACAATAACTGAATGAGTTTGTTTCAATCTTAGACCAGCAGGGGAACCAAATATATGCACTGCTGCAATAAGTACATTAATTAACTGTCTCATCGATGTTTGTCTGAATGAATATGATACTATTAACAATCATATTATTCCTATCAGCTGTCAATCACTGTTATGATTCACATATTCATTTATTATTGAATAAACTATATTTTTTGGAGGAGTTAATGATGAATGTTCATCAAGATGCTTGCTCACCCTCCTTCACATTTGAAAAACAAGTAATTATATCATTATTGATATACAGTTACAACCTTGACTTTACATCAGAAAGAACAAACATTAAAGAAGTGACTAACTGCATCAGTTAGGGTTAAAAAACGTATATTCAGCTAAAACATCGCTGCAGTTATTATCCAGTGGAAGGTCCTTACCTACTGGCCTAGTTAAATCAAAGTGGTTACTTTCTGTTGGCTGGGCAGTGTAGTTTTACACACCGTCTTATTTGACTTTCTCAGGACTTAAAACTGTTTTTTGGGGGCAGACCCCCACAAAGAAAAAATATATATACACGCATACAAGGTCATCATCTTAACAGTTTGTTATGCTCATCGAGTCATCCGTGAGCAGAGCATCAAGTTGGCATGCCTATTACAGCTGAATGCGGTGATTACCATTTTGTTCAGCAAAACGCCTCACAAACGTATTAAGATCCAAAGCTTTAGTGCGTTTTGATTCCATGCTGAGTACAGCCAAACTGACAGTCTCTTCTCTGTAATTGTAGACCGCAACTACCTCATTCCTTCAGTGCTTGGGTCCGAAATGCTTCTCGTTTTGCGCCGTCCCCCCGTTCAACTGAATTCGCCATCAATCATATTTCCAGTCTCGCGCCAGGACCGGGGGAGGGGTTACATGACGTGCATCTTGTGCTGCATTCACTTGCACTCGGACATTAGAGATTTTCTCTCATAAATGTCCGATTAGCCACAACTTTTCTTTCAAAACAAAGATGCCAACTGGGGTGGCAGCTGGGGTGGCAAGGCTATTGTTTAGGGTGGCAGTTGCCACCCCATGCCACCCCGGTAGATCCGCCCCTGGCGAGTTGGCAGACTTTATTTTGCTTACTTTAACATCATTTTTCATGTTGGGGCTAAGCCATTTCTTGGTATGGGTGTAGCCTACCCCAGCCATACCCTGGCGCTGCCACTGGTGGCATGTATGGGGCGGGCCATTCTGCACATGCGTTAAATGCGTTAAATATTTGAACGCAATTAATTCAAAAAATTAATTACCGCCGTTAACGCGATAATTTTGACAGCACTATTTTATATACTATCATTTTTAATCGTTTTATGCCGTCCCCGGCACAAACACACTGACACACTACCTGAGGAAGGTTATGTGTATTTTGTCATTTACTTTTTTCGGACCACTTATTTATTTGTTTTGGTGACGATCCGACCTCCATGCTGCTACTCTGGTTCAAACTGCACCAAACAATGTGATTTGTCTCCACCTTCCCAAAAGAACCAAAATCTGACACGGTGTGAAATGTATTTTTTAGCTGTTCTGTCGTAATTTCCTGCGATCTTCTTCATGCAGTCAGTCAAAATGAATATTAATACGGGCCGTTTCTTTGACTATTTATAGGTAAATATGGACGTTATGTGAAGCCCGCAAAAGCTGCGCCGCATTTCGAGTTGATTGTGATTTATGAAGGGAAACCGGCATAGGACGTGCCACACGCAAGTCCTACGCCGGTACTGTTTTTTATGTATTCGAAAATGTCTGTGCGTATTTATTTGCTTTGTCCTACGTCAGTGGCTAGTGGAGCCTCGCAGCGGCAAAACTGTGGCACGCTTACCCCTGGATTCCACCGGGTCCGTCTGCGTCGCGTTACGGCTGCGCTGCGGCGTTCGCAAAGATCGCGGCCGATCGCAGGTCGATTATTTTCATTTCCTCGCTCGTCGGTCCTCGGTATCACCGGAAGTTGATTTGTCTGCGCCATCTTGATTACCGTCCCATGGCGCTTATTTCTGCGGGAGGACCGACAATCGAGGAACGATAATCGAGGAATCACCAGACCATCCTCCGATGAAATCGTCAGATACTCGCCCCGCCCCCTTACTGTGTATCGCTCACTGATTGGACGATGCAGTGCATGCACTGATGCTTCTTGATATGAGAGCAGTTTCCCAGCGGAGTGAAGAAAACACATGAAACTCACGAGTCACTCCTCAGTTTATACTGTGTTTTGTTTAAATTAGTGTATCATTTAGTTAGGCTACAAATATGTGATATATCTGAACAATAAAGTGGTCAAAAATTATTTTATTCATTTATTGGAAACATTTTCATGATCGCTTTTTTCGTTTTTACATTTTAAGAATGGCGTTTATCTTTTTTGAGAATGAGTTCTTATTTTATGTATTTGGGTCTACAACAGATGATACAAATGTATATGTCAGTAAATGTGTACTAACAGTGGCGGGGGTGTGTGTGAAAACAACGGGGACAGAGCTGCAGTCAGACATCAGCTGTGCGGCGTCATCACAAACGGACATCGCTTCACGTGACGCTCCGGAGGAAAGGACGTCCCATTGCTCTTAAAACTAATTTCCCTGCTTCTCGTGGTTTCCTTGCGTCTCTCCATGCTTCCCTGGTGGGAGGGACTAAACGCAGAGAAACGACGCAAGTGAGGGACGCAAGGATTCCATTTAATCGACCGGGGGTCCTTCTCACTTCGGTTAAATGGATTCCTTGCGTCCCTCACTTACGTCGTTTCCCTGCGACTTACCAATGAAATACAACAACACATCTTTGATTCATGTCGTTTATAACTGGAATATTACAATTATTATTAACTTTGTCTGTACAAAGTAGCCTGTCCAGGAAATATGCACAAATCAACAAAAACTGCGAGCCGGCAGGCAAGACGCACCGCTTCTGAAACGCGCCCGGTGGGTTATGAGGCTGGATCAAAACCGCGGGGCAGCCGTGACGTGGCGCAGACGGACCCGCTGGCGCCTCGAAAGTAGACGAGAATAGCCGATTTTCGTGACACTGCCACCTAGCAAGCAGGAGACATGAATATGAACGACAACACACAGAGTGTGAGTAATGGGAAGTGCTTTTAAAGTTTTATTTGTTTAACATGAATAACAATTCCGGTATCTTGAAATGAAGTGTGATTAGCTAACGTTAACTATGATGACTGATACATCTTAAGGCAATACAAACAATCACCTGTTAGCTTCTAACCGTATTAAAGGCACTAAAAACAATTAATCGTTAGCTATAGCTTTCGGGTAAATAAACTGTTAGCATATTTGATTATTTGTTTAATGAAACTGTAGCGTGATGTTGGCAAGCCCAACTAGGTGTCCTACATTAATTGTTGATTTAATCACTAATCACAGTAATAGTGTGAGTAATGTGAATCGTGTTGTTTGTTTAAAGTTAACAACTATTCTGGTGTATTGAGTCATCTGTTAGCCTATGATGACTCGCTGCAAAACACAAAAAGTTGTGAATTAAAAATGTTACGTTAGAGTTCAAACGTATTAAGATGTACTTAAAATATCAAAAGTAATAGTACTCATTGTACAGAATCGCTCTTCTATAAACTGTTATCAGAGATTATATTATCCTGTTTTTGTCCTGAACAAAAACATAAGAATGTTTTTATATTGTATTTCATCAATGTGGAGAAAAGACTTTGTGTACTCCCAAGGACAATAATAGTGTGTATATGAACACATGTTCCTTATCATGTAATTTATGTTAACTATAAGTCTCAAATAAATGTAGTGCAGTAAAAAGAAACGTTGAGATGTACAGGAGTAGAAGTTAAACATTTAAGAAAATGGTAATACTCAAGTAAAGTACAAGTATCTCAACATTATACTTAAGTACATTACTTGAGTAAATGTACAGTTACATTCCACTGTGAACAAGCAGGTGTCTCTTCAGAAAATAGTTCCTTCCATGTAGATGTTCCTTTTCCCCAGTGTATTAGTCATAGTCCAATTGGAGTTTTTTTATCATCATCATATTCCTCTGTAAAGTTTATTTTTTAAGTGTAAAGAACATTCTGAAAGCATTCAAAATGAATAAACAATCCAGTCACCTGACTGGTGCACAGCTCCTCCTGTTCCCCGTTGATCTTTGGAAGCTCTTCGCCTGTGTGTGTTTCCATGTGGGCTGTGTAGTATTGGAAATAATCCACACAGCTTCTCACTTGTGTGGATTCTAATACGATTTTTTTTTACACTTGTGGCCGGTCAAATCTTTTCCAACAGATGCTGAATGCTCCTGTTTGATGTGGACTGTTAATAGGCGATCGTATTTGAAACTTTCTCCACAAATTTTGCAAGAATATGACGTCTCACCTTTGTGGGTTTTTGTATGATAGTTCAACTTTGACTTCTGAGTAAATCTTTTCCCACACGTATTGCAGGAATATGGCTTCTCCCCGGTGTGAATTATCAGGTGTCTTTCCAGTGATGACCTGTACTTAAAATATTTTTCACATTTGTCACATTTTAAAGGCTGTTTCCCTGTGTGCGTATCACTTTGCATCTCTAACAAATCAGTGTTGTTTGCATTGTTACGGTGACTTTTGCTTTCAGGATGTTGATTCCGTTTTTTTGGCTCTGCATTTCTTGCAGACTCTCCCGAGTCTTGCCGAGTATCACAGTGCATCTCTGACAATTTGTTTTGGTGACGTTTGCGGTGTTGATTCTGTGGTTTTGGCTTTGCACTGCTAGTTGATCCTGAGTCTTGCTCGCCTCCTTCCTGATCTTGGCTCTCAGCTACATGAGAGTTGTGAGAGAGGAGCTGGTGCTCACTTGCCTCCTCGGTAGCAGTCAACATGAAGGCATCAGTGTCCTGCTCCAGTCCAAGCTGCTCTCCCTCCGGACTGGTGCACAGATCCTCCTGCTCCTCTTTAATCTGTGGAGGCTCTGGGTCCTCTTGGTCCAGACTGGAGTTCCTCTCCTGAATACAGAGCTGCTCCTCAGAGAGAACCTGCTCCTCACAGACAGGATGCTGTGGGAGCTCTGGAGGGACAGAGAACAAATAAAATAGGATAATGCTGTACACATAACGGAACTTGAGGACATGCAACGTTGACAATTCCTTTGTATTCTGCTATTGAAGTGAGTACGTTTTACATACCTATCCTTGGTATTTGTATATCCGGTTTCCAAACGACATCCAGCAGTCTGCGCTGCCGTCTGATCTCCTCCTCATATTCGACGAAGGTTTTCTGAAAAACTCCAAATATTTCTTCAGCAGCAGCAGAGAGTCGCTCGTTAACAAACTCTCTCAAAAACTCAACCGAAGACATTGTTGCCTAAATATAAGTGTAGTATTTCCCGCGAAACTACTATAACATCGTATCTTAGTTTACTCCACTCATCGATAGCGGCGAACCAACTGTAACGGAGCGTGGTTTGTTTACTTCCGGTGCGTGTTTCTTCTTCTTCTTTTGGTTGTTGGCGGATTGCAAACAACTTTAAGGTGCATACCGCCACCTACTGTACAAGAGTGTGTATCACCATATCATTCTATCACCACTTGTGGAATTATACCACTGTGTTTACGTTGTTTTAAATTCTTCCAATCAATCCTGTTTCACTCAAATACTTAAGAATGGCCTTCCTGGTAGCTCTTAACCCCTCACCTTCTGTTCTCAGTATCCCCGCATCAGCAGTGGCGGCGCCAGAGTATTTTTGTTGGGTAATCTATGGTAGGGCTAACCCATACAGTGGTGGGGCTCAAGTCAGTATTTGTAATGTAATCACATACACGCTATATCGCCCTCCTTGACATTGAAATGCCACGCGTGCCACCCTCACCTTCTGTTCCCAGTATCCCCATCAGGCTCCACTCCCTTCCTGCCTCTCTGACCCAGACCCTGTCTCTTAGTTTTTCCCTCTGTTTTGTACATGTTGCAGAGTAATATGATGTGTTCCACGTTTTCCTTCACTCCACACCCCCTGCATTCTTCAACGTGGCTTTTTCCCATTAAAAACATTGTGCCGTTTAATCCTGTATGATCCAATCTGAGTCTAGTGATGGTGATCTCCTTCCGTCTGTTCCTTGGTATTGATCTTTGTTATGACTGATTTCTGTAACTTGTGGTATCTCCTCCCTTTCTGATCTTCCTCCCACCTTTTCTGCCATATTTCCATACCCTTCTTCTTAATTATTGCTTTTCCTTCTCCAAGTGAAACTGGTATTGCTATTTCCTTTTGTAACGCGTCTGTTGCTAACTTATCAGCATGCTCATTCCCTTTAACCCCCTCATGTGCAGGCACCCAGCATAACTGCACATCTATTCCCCTCCTCTGAAGTCTCAGTAAGCAGTGGTTAAGTTAAATTATTAAATCTTCTCTAACAGTTATTGTCGACTGTATGCTTTTCAAAGCAAATAGTGAGTCTGTGCATATCACCACCCTATCAGGTCTGACCTCTTCAACCCATTGTAGCCCAATAATTGCTGCGAGTATTTCTGCTGTATAAACTGATAAGTTATTTGACACTCATTTTGAGATTGATATTTTGAATTCTGGGATATACACGACTATCCCCATGCATTCTTGCTTCTTACATCCATCTGTGTAAATGTTGAGGTAATTGTAATACTTTTCGTTAAGGTGCATACTCGTTTTAATTCCCACTTCATTAATTGTTTCTATTTTAGAATCGATCTTTGGTTCACGAGCAATCCATTTACAATTGTTCCCGGTTGGTGCAGCGTTCCTCTTCAATCTCTAGAGCAGGGGTCTCCAACCTTTCTTCTCCTAAGAGAGCTACTTTGAAAAAATGAAAGTGGCCAAGAGCTACTTCCATCACATCGCTTACATTTATTATCGCACTCATCAGTTGAATTAAGCTTTGTACACGTGTGAAATTACAATACCTAAAGTTTATCATAATCTTAACTTCACATCACGGTCCAAGAAAACGACAATTTCACACATATTATTATGGCCCACATAGTAAGTACATCACTGAGAATTCACAAACATGTCCAAGAAAAAAAGACAATTTTTTCACTTCTTATTATTGAAGAAGATTCAACTTATTGTCATTATGTAGTAAAGGTACTACGTAACGAAACGGTTTCTCTGCATTTGACCCATCCTAATGTTAGGAGCAGTGGGCTGCCATTATGTACGGCGCACATGGATTATTATGGCCCACATAGTAAATACATCGCCTTAATCACCACCTTACAAGCATCTGGGTAAAATAAGTGCATTCACTCTTTTTGACTGACACGACATGGAGTCCACCATAGAGGTGTATGCTGGAGTGTACCCACTTAGGTTCACTCTAAGAGTCATTTAAATGTTCATCAGTCAGTCTTGTTCTGTATTTAGATCTCATTCATGTCAGAAAAAGCTGCTTCACAAAGGTCTGTAGAGCCAAATAAAGCAGACGTGTTCAGTGCTGCTTAGTGAATGTTCTTATAGTTTTCTGGGCTCCAGAAATGTTGTGAGTTTTGCCGAGACTTGAGCTGAACATTATTTTGGAGATTTATAACCTCCATCTCCACAGGATTGACACTGAACAGTTCAGCCATCTTGATATTAAATTATAGACCATAATAAATCAACTGTATAGGTCTAGCCTCCCTATATCTGTGTGAAATTGTTCCATCCTCAAAAACAAAAAACTAATGCTTCTGCAGTCTAGCTGCAGCTTCTAGCAACGGTCTTCTGTTTAAAAAAGGACACTGAAGGTCCTGAATCACACACATGACTTGAGTCTGAACACAGCAGACAACAGGAGTATTTACAACAGCATATCAAAACTAAAATAGTGCATGTGGGTGCACACTTATTCTCTGTCTTACTGTTACATAAATCCCATGAATGTATGAGACTAAGTTAGCTTCATCATATCTCAATCAGTGATTAGGTGAATAATAAAGTTTCTATCAGGTCACTATCAGCCTGTCACTCATCATTTTTAGGGAGGCTGCAGGGTTTGGAGGAACAGAGGAGCTGGTGCTCACTCTCCTCCTCAGTAGCAGTCAACATGAAGGCATCAGTGTCCTGCTCCAGTCCAAGCTGCTCTCCCTCCGGGCTGGTGCACAGCTCCTCCTGCTCCTCTTCAATCAGTGGAGGCTCTGTGCAGCAGGGATTCAACTTTTCCCCTGTGTGTGTTTCTGTGTGGCTTCCCAAGTTACTACTGAATATGGCATTTTTACCAGAGATGATGCAAGAATGCGGATCCTCCCCTGTGCAGCTTCTCATGTGGACTCTCAATTATACATCATATCGGACACATTTCCCACATCTTTTGCAAGAAAACGTCTTCCACCCATGTGGAATTTCATAATATGCCTTTTAAATGTTGATGTTCGACAGAATCGTTTCCCACACGTTTGGCACAGAAATGGCTTCTCCCCTGTGTGAATTCTAATATGCTGTTTCAAGTGGCTTTTATTTGCGAAAGCTCTCCCACATGTATTGCAAGGAAATGGCCTCTCACCTGTGTGGCTTCTGAGGTGTCTGTTCAGTGTTGCTATCGAGGAAAAATATTTCCCACATGAGTCACAATTGAAAGGCTGTTTACCTGTGTGCATCTCTGACAAATTAATGTTGTTTCCTTCATAACTGGGATTTCTGTGATATTCATTCTGTGGTTTTGGCTCTGCATGTCCAGTTGATCCTGAGTCTTGCTCGCCTCCTTCCTGATCTTGGCTCTCAGCTACATGAGAGTTGTGAGAGAGGAGCTGGTGCTCACTTTCCTCCTTGGTAGCAGTCAACATGAAGGCATCAGTGTCCTGCTCCAGTCCAAGCTGCTCTCCCTCCGGACTGGTGCACAGCTCCTCCTGCTCCTCTTTAATCTGTGGAGGCTCTGGGTCCTCTTGGTCCAGACTGGAGTTCCTCTCCTGAATACAGAGCTGCTCCTCAGAGAGAACCTGCTCCTCACAGACAGGATGCTGTGGGAGCTCTGGAGGGACAGAGAACAAATAAAATAGGATAATGCTGTACACATAACGGAACTTGAGGACATGCAACGTTGACAATTCCTTTGTTTTCTACTATTGAAGTGAGCACGTTTTACATACCTATCCTTGGTATTTGTATATCCGGTTTCCAAACGACATCCAGCAGTCTGCGCTGCCGTCTGATCTCCTCCTCATATTCGACGATGGTTTTCCGAAAAACTCCAAATATTTCTTCAGCAGCAGCAGAGAGTCGCTCGTTAACAAACTCTCTCAAAAACTCAACCGAAGACATTGTTGCCTAAATATAAGTGTAGTATTTCCCACGAAACTACTATAACATCGTATCTTAGTTTACTCCACTCATCAATAGCGGCGAACCAACTGTAACGGAGCGTGGTTTGTTTACTTCCGGTGCGTGTTTCTTCTTCTTCTTTTGGTTGTTGGCGGATTGCAAACAACTTTAAGGTGCATACCGCCACCTACTGTACAAGAGTGTGTATCACCATATCATTCTATCACCACTTGTGGAATTATACCACTGTGTTTACGTTGTTTTAAATTCTTCCAATCAATCCTGTTTCACTCAAATACTTAAGAATGGCCTTCCTGGTAGCTCTTAACCCCTCACCTTCTGTTCTCAGTATCCCCGCATCAGCAGTGGCGGCGCCAGAGTATTTTTGTTGGGTAATCTATGGTAGGGCTAACCCATACAGTGGTGGGGCTCAAGTCAGTATTTGTAATGTAATCACATACACGCTATATCGCCCTCCTTGACATTGAAATGCCACGCGTGAGGTTTAGATTATTTCCCTGTCTCAATCAAAATTGAACTGTATGAAATAAAAAGGCACATTTGTCCTGAATGTCCTGGAGCCAATCCTGCAATTTCACCACAGGTGAAAGAGTTGACATGCTGAAAACCCAACCCCTGCAGGGGGGAAGCCCGCCCTAACCTGCCATCAGGCCCTGGGGCTGATGGGTTTTGTAGGCCCCCTATTTAAACAACAAATCAAAGTCATTTATAGCCTCGGCAGGCTCTGTGATCGCACTTCTCCACTCTGCTCTACGCGCGCCTGGTCACCTCCTCCAGATGAGTGACGTATCGGGCCTCCCTCATGTATTTGTCCGGTTGCCGTTGGCTCCCCTCCACATAGCAAGTCCTCGTCGTCCTCTCCATCTCCTCCAACAGATAATGTCCCTCCTGTCTGTTTTTCCTCTTACTCCATCGCTATCAGAACCAGACGGCCTACTTGGCTCCGAGGCCCCGCGGCCGGCACCGCTTCCGCTCGGTACAGAACTCATCTGTCCTTCCTCCCCATCCGTCCTTCCTCCTCATCCTGGCTGTTACGTGCCGCAGTTGGTGCTTGTGTGTGTGTGCTTTTGTGTGTGTTTCTCTCTCTCTCCCTGATTGTCTCCAGGTGCAGCCTCTCCCCCAGGTGCTCCCAATCCTCAATCAGAGCTTCCATAAAGGACCTGAGGAAGGCTGCAGTGGCGTCTCTTCTTCTCCTCTGGCTGCATGTGTGTAGTGTAGTGTAGTGTAGTGTAGTGTAGTGTAGTGTAGTGTAGTGTAGTGTAGTGTAGTGTAGTGTAGTGTAGTGTAGTGTAGTGTAGTGTAGTGTAGTGTAGTGTTGTGTAGTGTAGTGTAGTGTTGTGTGAGGCCTAGTTCAACCTGTGTTCTGCTAATTGTTAGGAGATGTGTGTCTTTGTGTATTGTTTTACGTTAGTCACTTTCTTTTGAAAGAAAGTTGTCCTTAGTTAATTTTTGTTTTGCAATTTGGCTGGTGAGCCTCTTTACTTTTTTTATTAATTAAAACCTCACTTTGTGGCTTCAGCATTCAGTTTCCTCTCCTTTTTCTCTCGGCCCGTTATTTTGTGTGTTGTTACTTCCCTTTGTACCCCTAGTTTTAGAAGGGAACGTAACACTGGCCTACAGGTTTAAAATAACCTGTAAGCTTCGACATGTTTTGTAGTAGCTGCTTGTCTCGAAACTCCTTTTCCCTCAACAATTTCCTTTTCTGAGCGCCACTCTCAAACTTTTTCTTCTCTGACATTTTCTCCTAAACAACCTTCATCTGTCACTCAATCACTCGCAATTTCAATAAATCACATGTGAAACATATTCTCATTCTGATTGGCTGTTAAGTGGTGCCCATCACTGTAAAAAAAAAAACGTTGTTTTTACGGTAAAAACCTGGCAGCTTTGTTGCCAGAATAATTATGTAAAAAATATGGTAAACTGTAAACAACTTTACAGAACAAGGTGTATATTTTACAGTTTAAAACTGTTGTAATTTACATTTTAAATCTGTAATTTCAACAGCCCTTTTCTGCTGAATTAGCATGATCACGTTGCTATTAAACTGATTATTTCAGTAAGATTTACATGCAGTTGTTGCATATTGTACATTGAATCCCATTCAATTTTACAGAAACATACCAAACAAATAACACTGTTTAACTGTAAAAGCATCAGTGTAATGCAGTGTTTTACGGTGAAAGCAACATCTAAATACTGCAATTTAAATCTTCTTTAAAACGTATTTATTACAATTAAAATGCAGAAAAAACTGTTCTATGAATATCAATCTCAAATATATAGTATAAAACCGCCTGTAAGGATTATTGCTCAGCGGAAAAAAAATGTTTTTCCTACACATTAGTCAGATTGAAACATTTAATTTAAACTACACTGCCTTTGTGTATATATATATATATATATGTTTGACTATTACCAGAAATGTGAAGAATGTAATCCAGGGTACACAGATTAAGCACTTAAAAAAAAAAAAATGCAAAGCTAGATAAACCTCAAGAGCCACTGTATTAAAAGTTGAACAAATTCCAACAAGAACTTGCCTTTCCAAGAATGTATTATATATATATAATAGCAGTGATCAAAAACATCTGTCTTTTCTCAACATACATCTTGGTTAAACATACAAACTAAGGCTGCACAATAAACAAACAGCTCACATTGTCCAGGAAATTCAAGCTGAACAAAGTTAAGAGGTTACTTACATCACATCAAATGATTTATGGGAAATAATGTTTTCAAATAGGTTAGTACTTTATGTCTCATCTCTTATAGTGGGCACCTGTATAATATAATACTCTACTGTCACAGCCATTGACTGAGCTGTAACTTAGCCAAAATAAGGGATTGTCTTAGTTGAATACATGTTCATTGCTAAAGGAAGTGTGTACGTGATGAAGCTACAGTTGCAAAACACATGTGAGTGTGTGTCTAAGTGAGATAGGTGAAGAGGTAGGGTCAGCAGAGACCCTTCACTTCAGAAGCAAAAACCCAAGTGGAAAACAAAACACGTCAACATTTTTACACTCAACAGTAATGTCCTGAGCTTTTACATCCACATAAGCCAAATGAAGATTGTTTAAGCAACTTCACTTTGTAACAGCAAACCGCAAGAGTGGCTACAATGACCTTAAAAGAATAGTTTGACATTTTGAGAGTTACATATTGCATTTTTTTTTAAATTAGTTAAAAGAACATTAAAAAAAGGCTCTTCACATTTTAACTACGATTTAAACAATCAAACAAACTGTAACTTGGGCACATCGCCACATGCCATTGATCTTACTGTCCATATTCAGACATCACGCCACTCATGGTCCGAAAGTTCCTGTATCAAGGTGAGGACTCTCGGGTTCACCTGAAGACGGGATGCGCGTGTCTTCTCCACTTTGGTGCCCTTCTCTGGGTTGATGGAGAAAAAACACCTTAAAATAAAAATACAAACAAACAACAGAATTAATAATAAAATAGCTTGCCTAACAACAAAAAACTTCACATCAATCTTATTATTTTGAAGCCAAAATGACAATTATCTTAACCCCCAATTCACTGAAGCAGCTGCTTTAGATTTGTTGCAGTTTAATAAAAGAAATCGTTGGATAAAGCCAATCCCAAAAAACACATACCTCTGGACAAACTCCAGGGTGGATGCCAGCTCTGACGGGTAGGCGATGTTGAAGCAATAATAGCTCCCAAACATCATGGACAGGGCAGAAACCAAGGAGGGGATGTTGTCCTGTACTATGTTTCGATCCACACTCAGCATGAATCACCTTGAAGAATAGCATGATCGTCCTAAAAAAGAAGAAAAACACAATTCAAACTAAATTAAGACTTGTCTTCCTGAAACATTTCACAAAACAATTTTAGCACACATGTTAAGGTCTGTTAAATTGCTCACCATCAATACAAAAATGTATGCATGTGTATTTGCAGGTTAAGGGGAGATAAATGTAATGTCAATTTGACTTGCTTTTAGGGGATAGTTCATATTGTTTGAAGGGGGGTTGTAGGAGCTACAGTTTGGAGAAACAGAGAGGAGAACCAGCAGACAGCTAAGCAATGCACTGCTGTGGACATACACAGAACAAAAATATAAATGCAACACTTTTGTTTTTGCTCCCATTTTTCATGAGATGAACTCAAAGTTCTATTTCGTATATGGCTTCGCCCTCTAAGGCTATCGCTATTGGGTTATCCCTCTGCGCCCCCGCGCAGCACTGAAACACTTATAGTCCACGCCCACCCGCCATGTGGGCCCCACCCTCGGGCCTCCTTCCGGTATAAATAGGAAGGGTGCCCGGCAATCTGAAGATCGAATCATGAGCAGCAATGATTGTGTCCGCATGTGTCCTTCGTGCAATACGGGATACATCATGAGCTACGATTTGCACCCAATATGCGCATCCTGCCTGGGGCCAGAGCACGCGGACGCCGCTCTCAGCCAGCAGATCGCATGTTCACATTGTGTTCGTCTCCCATCATCCGACAGGAAGCGAAGGGCAGACGCTCTAGCTGCTGCGGGTGAGGAGGACGACTGGCCCATCCAGAACAGGGACAACAGCCTGTTTCTGGAGGCGAGTGGGGGGCAGGAGTCGGACGACTCCTACCCCGTCTCCCTCCATGGCTCGCCATGCGGCTCTCCCCTCCCCCCTCTTCCCCGGACGGGGGAGACGGGGTCGGAGCGTGGCGGCCGAGCACGTGGTCCCCTTCTCCGTGGCCACGGCGCTACCGGCGTTGGGTGGCATTATGCTGGAGCTGCCGGAAATAATCGGCAAAGCAGCAGCATGCAGAGGTCTCCCCGTTCCCCGAGGACGGGAGAGGGTGGCTCTGGATGACATGGCCGGAGTGTTTTCCCGGGTTCAGACGGGCAGGAGTGACCCGATCTGGCCGCGCTTTCCCGCCATTAGGCGATACCAGGAAGGGGCAGCGGCGAACCCGAGGACCTTAAGGGCTCCGGTGGCCACCTTTGTCCCCTTCACTAAGGTGGAGGGGTTCACAGACGAGGTTTTTCTAACCACCCCCGCTCTGGAACCGAGCTTAACGGCGTTCTTCGGGGTTAGGCAGGCCAACTTGGTCGCCGGACGGCGCCCTATGTTGGCCGCCCCCAAGGACCAGTATGTCGCCCGCCAGGCTGACCGGGCACACCAGTGTGCGTTCCAGGCGTCTGCAGCAGCGAATAACATCGCGTTGGTGACCAACTCGGTGGTGACGTTGGTCGAACGGTCCACCACCGTGGCTCCAGAGGAGGCGGAAGAGATCGCTAAGGCGGCCAGCACGGCACTCACGCTGTGCGCAGCCGTGGCGGTCTCCCAGGCAAGGATCACAGCCTGGATCCAGCGCCACCTCTGGTTGCAACAAGCAGCGGTTACAGAGCCAGCCAGGAAGGTTTTGCTGGACGCTCCGATCAGCTCGGACGGGCTGTTCGGACCCCAGTTCCTGGCCATGGTTGAGTCCATGAAGGCGGCATCGGAGCAAGCGGAGGACATCCGCCAGCATGTCGGCTGGCTCCGGCCAGCAGTGAAGCAGCAGCGGCAGCAGCGGCAGCAGCAGCCAACCCGGCCACAGCGGCAGACAGACAGACACTCGCAGCAACAACAGCCGAGGCGTCAGACTCGTCCGTCAGCGGCGGCTGGGGCACCGTCCCGCACCTCCGGGGCACCGTCCCGCGCCTCCGGCCCCCCACCAGAGAAGGGGGGTAAGAAGGGAGTGAGGTACTCCCGTTCGGCGTCTGCTCCACGAGAGCCGCCGAAAAAACAGAGCCGGCCTTGACGGTTTGGGGGGGAGTGTGAGGGAAATAAAAAAAGATTATTTCCCAACATGTGGTCTGAGTCATCAGTTACAAATGTGTTTCACATATCCCCCACCCTGGGTGAACCAGCTGCCTATGACCTATCGGTTAATAGCCAGCAGGGTTCGTTACAAAAGCCTGCGCTATTTAATCTATCGATTAATAAGATGCGGAGCACAGTAACTACACCAGCTGCCTCCAATCTGTTGATTAGTAGGCAGCAGGATTCGCTGCAGAGGCCTGGTGGTTATGACTTTTCGGTTATTAAACCACAGACCTCGCGGCATTCCTCTGTCCGAGATACGCCACCTACACACGGTCACAATAAGCCCATGAGCGCCGTGGTAACGCCTCATGTGGATATCACTGCACACACCTCCACCCATCCTCTGAGCGTGTACGCGCCTCATGATGAGAGGCGGAGTGAAATGCAGCGTGTGGAGGCCTCCTCACAGCCCTTTCGCTCTAGGCCCACCTTGGGTTGCCTCACGGGCAGCGGCGGCGAGGGCTCTGGCGTGGCTCGTCGTCATGACGACCACAACACATCTCGAGCATGTGCGCCCGCTCGCAGAGTGTTTCTCGGAGTGGCAGCGCGTGTGTCTGATGGACAGATGGATGAGCAGGCTGATCAACAGAGGGTACACCCTGCAGTTCGCCTCCCCCCCACAGTTCAACGAGATACAGGTGACACGCTTGTCATCCCGAGAACAGTGTCTTGCGCTCCAAGCAGAGCTACGGGAACTCCTGTTGAAAGAGGCTATTTCCAGGGTTCCCCAGGAGGAAGAAAATCAGGGGTATTACTCCCGCTATTTTCTTATCCCGAAAAAGACGGGGGGAATGAGACCCATCCTCGACCTGTCAGTTTTCAACAAGGCAATAATGAAAAGGCCTTTTCACATGCTGACGGTCAAAAGGGTGTTAGAGTGTGTTCACCAGGGAGACTGGTTCACCTGTATAGACCTAAAGGATGCATACTTCCATGTACCCATCATTCCGCAACACAGGAAATTCCTGCGGTTTTCATTCCAGGGAATATCGTACCAGTACAACCGTCTGCCGTTCGGCTATTCCCTGGCTCCTCGCACTTTTTCAAAAAGTGTGTAGAAACGGCATTGCAGCCGCTACACAGAGGAGGGATGAGAGTACTATTTTACCTGGACGACCTGTTGCTGCTGGCTCGCTCCAGGGAGGAAGCGGCTTTACAGATGGTACAACTCATATCGCATCTGTCAAAGCTGGGTTTCATAATAAATTGGAAAAAGAGCTGTCCTCTTCCCTCCCAGAGTATTGTTTACCTGGGGGTGGAATTCAACTCAGCCCGCATGAGAGCACGACTCTCACGGCAGAGAGTGGAGACACTGACAGCTTTCCTTCGATGCGTCACACCCCGCAGCGTGGTGACGTCACTCTCCGTGATGCGGCTGCTCGGCATGATGGCAGCAGATCACGGGGTGATTCCCCTGGGTCTCCTGCACATGAGGAGACTGCAGAGGTGGTTCATCAGCCTACGCATCGACCCCGTACGACAGAAGAGGCGCATGGTGGTCATCCCTCTGTCCGTGGGTTCAGACTTAACCTACTGGAAAAGTCCCCACGTCCTGTCAGAGGGGGTAGCCCTGGGCAGAGTTACGTCACACATCTCGGTGTTCACAGACGCATCTCTCTCAGGGTGGGGAGGAACGTGCATGGCGCAGGCAGTGGGAGGACAGTGGCCGGCTCACATGTCCTTCCACATAAATGTGCTGGAATTGATCTCCGTACGATAGTGAGCACTTCTCCTTTGCCGAGATAATCCATCCCACCTCACAGGTGTGGCATATCAAGATGCTGATTAGACAGCATGATTATTGCACAGGTGTGCCTTAGGCTGGCGTTAACGTTGACGGCGTTGACGTTAACACGACTGCCCGTTAAGTTTTAACCCGCTCAGATGTAGCTTCAAACCCCCCGCTCAGTAGACGTTATAACTATGACTGCAAAATGCACTCAATCACAAACAGAAGCTAGTATTGTCCTGACAACACACCGTTGTTTGCTTGCAGTTCGCGCCAACACATTTGAAAAACACTGGGGTTCCTATGTAATGCAGAACATAACCCCTCGTCTGTAGCGTTTTGCTGCAAAATGCACTCAATCACAAACAGAAGTTAGTATTGTCCTGACAACACACCGTGTTATAATTGAAGTTTGAAGAAAATAAACGGTTAGCTTACCAGTGCTGTGCTACAGATGTGATCCTCCGCTCATGTGCACACAGCTCCGTGGTCCGTGGCAGGCAGACTTCAGACAGACTTGGCCGCGCACTGAGCCGTAACTTTTACGGCCCCTACACACGGCGGTGTGCGTTACCGCTTGGCGGTGGGCGTGTTTGAAGCTTGGGGATTTTTTACGAACAACGCGACCAACAACCAATCACATGAATGTCCCGCCCCGGATATACAAAGCAAAAAAGCCCGGTTCTTCTATCCACTCTAGCCAAAATGGATGCCGGTTTGGTAGCAAGGGTAGCATTGGTATATGCATTGTATCTCGGGAGGCGACGTCGTGTGCGTCGCTGTTGGGCACATCCGATACTCCGAAAACGTCTGCAACGGGGAGAATACCACGTTCTGGTCCAAGAGCTCCGTCTGGATGACGAACTGTTTTACCAGTACTTCAGAATGAGCAAAGGCCATTTCGATGAGTTGCTCGGCAAAGTGGGTCCACTGATAACAAAGACGGACACCAACATGCGGTTGTCAATCGGACCCGCCGAGCGACTCGCCATCTGCCTACGGTATGTTTAGTGTATTTCTACTTCTTTAATCTGACTCTGTATAGAAAGAGAGAGAGTGCATGCCATTGACGAATGAAGTTTGTGATTTATTTCAGATGGATAACATTAATTAAGATAGCTAGGTTAACACAGTATTGCTCCCCTGTGTGTGTGTGTGTGTGGTGTGTGTGTGTGGGGTCTGTGTGTGCATGGGGTGTGTGTGGGGTCTGTGTGTGTGTGTGTGGTGTGTGCGTGCGTGAGGTGTGTGTGTGTGTGTGTGTGTGTGTGTGTGTGGGGGTCTGTGTGTGTGTGGGGTGTGTGTGTGTTTGTGGGGTGTCTGTGTGTGTGGGGTCTGCGTGTATGGGATCTGTGTGCGTGTGTGTGGTCTGTGTGTGTTTGTGGGGTCTGTGTGCCTGTGTGTGTGTGCGTGTTTTAGGGGTGTGTGTGTGTGGTGTGTGGTGTGCGTGGGATGTGTGTGTGTGGAGTCTGTGTGTGTGTGGTCTGTGTGTGCGTGGGGTGTGTGTGTGTTTGTGGGGTGTGTGTGTGGGGTCTGCGTGTGTGGGATCTGTGTGCGTGTGTGTGGTCTGTGTGTCTGTGTGTGTGTGGGGCGTGTGTGTGCGTGTTTTAGGGGTGTGTGTGTGTGTGTGTGTGTGTGTGTGGGGTCTGAAATTGTTTTATTTTTTAAATCATGTATATTACTTTTTTCTCAGGTACCTGGCAACCGGTGACTCGTACAGGACAATAGCATTCAGCTATAGGGTTGGTCATATAACAGTGGCTGTCATCGTCAGGGAGGTTGCGGGTGCCATCTGGACCGCGCTGGTCGAGGAGACCATGCCGGTACCACAGGCGGAGGACTGGAGAGCCATCGCTGCTGAGTTTCAGGAGCGCTGGAACTTTCCAAATTGCGTTGGTGCCATTGATGGGAAGCACGTGGTGATCCAGGCTCCGGCAAATTCTGGGTCCCTCTACTTCAATTATAAGTCCACCCACTCCTTGGTACTGCTGGCTGTCGTGGATGCCCAGTACCTCTTCAGGATAGTGGATGTTGGAGGCTTTGGAAGGAGCAGCGACAGTGGGAGCCTGAGGAATTCCGCTTTTGGAGAGAGCCTCAGAGATGGCAGTCTGCAGCTACCACCTGACACCGTCATCCCAGGAGCAGAGCGGCTCGGCCTTCTCCCCCATGTCTTCGTTGGAGATGAGGCTTTTCCGCTGCTGGACAACCTGCTGCGTCCATTCCCTGGACGCCAGATCACACACGAGAGGAGGATGTACAACTACCGCCTCAGCCGGGCCAGGTTGGTGGTTGAATGTGCGTTTGGCATCCTCTCATCTCGGTGGAGAATGTTCAGGCGTGCCATCACCACCAGCCCGGAGGTAACAGAGTTGTGTGTGAAGGCCGCCTGTGTGTTGCACAACTTCCTCCGCAGGAAGACGATAGGAAGGAAATCACGCACACCTGTCGAGGAGTCCATGGATGAAGCTCCAGATACTCCAACCCTGTGTGATGCACCAAGGATGGGCTCCAACAATGCCACACGCAGATCGCTCCAACTGCGGGAGAACTTCTGCTCCTATTTCAATGAGGAGGGTGCAGTGCCATGGCAGCATAAAGTGGTGTAGGGTCACCACGGCTCTTTTAAGAGCCTCCAAACCAAAAGCTCTTTTAAGAGCTACCCATATTTTCTTTAAAAAGCAAATATTCCAAATGAGCCATTTCAAAATAAAACATTCCTTATAACATGTTTCTTGAATTGATATTATGATATTGCTAACAACCTTTTTCCTTCAGCCCTGTTTTTACTGATAAACCACTCATAATTTCAATAGGTTTTCAAATGGACAATTGTACAGAAGACAGCACATTATAATAATAATAATAATAATAATAATAAATGATATTTATATAGCGCCTTTCAAGGGACCCAAGGTCGTTATATATCGACATACATGAAGCTTCTGGTATGTTGCAACTGACAAACCACATGAACAAGTGAAGACACAGTACAGTCATAACATACTTTTTAAATAACTTTTATTTGTGTAAGTGTGTGATGATTGGATAAGTGTAAAACATGTAGTGTAGTGTAGTATGTGTGTGAATTGCAAAAATCAGTTATTTTCCATCTCCTGCTCTGCCTCAAAAAATTTAGTGTATATTTGAAATCGGACTCTTGTCCTCTTTGCAATAGACAGCCTTCGCATGGTAGGTAAGAGGCTCCTGAAAAATAACTCATCCTCATCCTCCACCACTACTGAAGGGGGTGGTGGAGGATGAGGTTGAGGTGGTGGCACAAACAGAGGACTGATGGCTGACATCAAGCCTTTCTCGAAGGAGGACATCTCCCTTCCCCTTCTCCTCTTTCCCCAGTCCCA